GGTAATTCCCAGGTATTTCTTCTGTTTGTTTATTGTAAATGATGTTTTCTTGATGTCTCTTGGAGCTCTCATTGCTGCCATATAGGAATCTGATTAATTTCTGTTTGTCAATGTTGTATCCTGCTACTTTACCAAATCCCTCAATTGTTCTCAACAGTCTTTTTGTGGGTTGTCTCTCAGTAAAATCATATAATCTACAAATAAGGAAAGCTTCAGTTCTTCTTTGTCCAGTTGTAGTTCCTTGATTTCTTTTGTTTTCCAGTGATTCTGGCTAAGACTTCCAGCAGAAGTTGAATAAGTGTGGGGATAAAAGGCCACCTTGTCTAGTTCCCATTATCAGGGGGTATGTTTCCAGTTTTTCCCCAATGAGTGTGATTTTGTTAGTTCACATATAGCCCTTATTACGTTGAGGAGTTTCCCTTCTATTCTTATTTTATTGAATTTTCTTATTAGAAATGGGTGTTTGATATTGTCAAATGTTTTTCTGCATGTAATCATATGATAATGTGGTTCTTATTCTTTGTCGGATTTATGTGGTGGATTATGTTGACTATTTTTCAAATGTTGAACCATCCTTGCATCCCTGGTACTGAATCCCACTTAATCATGATGACATTTTTGGGTTTTTTTAATAAGTTCTTGGATTCTATTCACCAGAATTTTGTTGAGAATTTTTGCATTTATGTTCATGAAGAATGTTAGTCTGCAATTTTCTGTCTTTGTAGGGTCTTTTCTTGGTTTGGGATTTAGGTTTGTGCTAACTTCATAGGAGGAATTTGAGAGTTTGCTGCCCCTTTATATATTCTGGAATAGTCTGTATGTAAAATTGGTGGCAACTCATTTCTGAATACTTGGAAGATTACCTTTGTGAAGTCCTGGGCTTTCCTTGAATGGGAGTTTCTTAAAGACCTTCTTTACTTCTTCATTTGTTATCGGTCTCTTCAGGTTTCCTACATCTGACTACTAATTTTGGTCGTAGATGTATTTCTAGATATTGGTCAATTTCTCCTAAATCATCAAGTTTGTTAGAGTACAGTCTTTTGTGGTAATGTGTATTATTTTTTTATTTCATTTGGATCTGCTCTGATGTCACCCTTCT